CTGCCAGACCCTTCTTTTCCAGCAAATTTTTGTGATCGCAGGTATGTACACCGGAGCAAGTAGTAACCCTCAATAAGCTGTGTTGATTGGGACATGTATTGCACATGTCTCCAAATAAAGTTCCACATTGCTTACTGTTTGCCGAGGCAGATGTTGAGAGACCAGGAGACTTGCTCACATAGGCCGCGTCAGGCTTCCTGGATGGGGATATTGAGATCATCGTAACCGGTGGTTAGATGCGTTATGTCACTGATCTTGCGTGCCTCTGTGACTGCCAGACCCTTCTTTTCCAGCAATTTCCGTCGGAGTGTCAAGCCGTTTATACCTGTCACTAGACGGTCACACAATTGTTCCTCCAGACGATCACTGTAATTGCAACGTGGTCTGCTTTTCAGCTGGAGGATGAAACCGCGACAAATTATATTCTCGGCACGTAACAAAGAATTGAATTTAGCCAGTTCGTGTGCCTGGAAGTCCGTGGGTAGCAGGTGGTCGAGAAGCAACCGCTTCAAGGAATCGTACTGCTGTTTTACCGGGACCTCAAGGACTGCCAGGTTCTTCAGCAGCGAATACAGATCACGGCCTCCAGCAGTGAGAAATGGGACTGATTGGTTCTGTGCACCACCTTTACGAATGTTGCACCACAGCTCAAACCGCTCCACCCATTCCTCGATCTCGGATGAACTGGCATTCAGATTCAGTTTTTCAATAATTGGTAGCTCCAGCCCGCAACTCTAAATGGTAGTAGCTGAAGCAGGCACAGATCACGAATTACGAATCACGCGTCAAGAATCATGAACACCACAGAAAAACCGAATCACATTAATAATTTCACGCTGGCATCTCCCGTCATCGAGACGCAGGAAAAAGGCCACAAAAGTAGCAGTTCGTTAATTGAAAGAAATTAAGGGGATGAAATACCATGTATAAAGGAAGTCTATTGGTTATCCAGGTATCCATTAATCGCATGTTCGTATTCTTGACGCAATACATATTCTGTCTGGACCGCACAACTTTTGATTGGTCAGCATTATTCGCTTGTAGTTCGCTGTCCATAGACTGTAACGCGTAACCGCTTGAGTGGCGTCATCTGGGAAGGTTGACGCACCACAGTTGTCCAGACACTGTCACGCGTGGCTCCGTTGTTGGTGTTATCCCGTAGACCAGGATCACCACAATGATTTCGGCATACGGTCTCCAGTGTGATTCTGTGTTTCATTTCGAAATTTGATGTATGATTCCTGATTCTTTTCTAGGATGTTTTGAGGATCTCTTGGATGTGAGTGTCTTTCAATTTATGATATACGCTGTCTACTATATCACCATAAGATTTGCTTTCTTGATGATTGTATTGTTTTCCGATAGAATATCCCGCGTGAAGCGTTTTCTCATCGAAAAGGATTTTGGTAATCCATTCAGATCTTTGATCTGGTTGTATTGATATCCTGTGTGCTTGCGTATCGGCTTACTAATTTGATGGTGATTTGATGTTTTGGTCAGAAGTTTTGTGACCTGACATATATGTGAAACAAACATGGCCACTGATGCAATTTCTCTCAATTTCCGAAAACTGAATATGTTTGTCGGAACTTGTGCACGGCCTCTGGTAAACCGATAATGAACACTGAGAGAAGGAACGGTCTCAGCAGGCATTAAACACTTTCATTTTCTTATTCATTTCAAAATAGCCAAGCGAAGGCCGATCGGGAAGAGGGGGTGGGGTGGGGAGTTGATGATGCATATTTGACGGACTCGGGAATAATCTGTCACCGAATTTGGATGTGTAGACTTACTTGATTTCACACACACATATTAAACCTGTTTCACAAGCATCTGCGGCACCGCACTTTGTGTGCATTTTCTGCTTCAGGGGGCACAACAGAAATAAAAGACAAGATATAAAGAGTTGCACACAGTGAGACTACATCTCCAGATCTGATCCGAGGGGCTTACTTACCTTGAAGCCTTGATCAGTGGGACATGGCATTGAACAGACAGCAATGCAATTCTTGTTTTTACTTCCTATTGGATCTGAATGTACTGTTCGACTGTGTGCAGTGTATGTTGACCCTTCAGACTCACTTCACTACTCGCTATACAGTTCGCACACATTTGCACCTAGCTTGGGTGCATTGTGGTTATTGACAGCAATCAACGGGGTTCGTTTCACAGTATTTTGATAAATAATGGTTACCGCCGTGAGGATGATGATGATGATGATCACTTGTGCACTGATGTAGTTTAGTAAACAGTTAATAATCCATAGGTGTTCCGGATCATTTCGAAAAATTTGGGCGTTGTGCTCATGGTAACAATAGAATCAAGTTTGTTTTAGCCACAAAGTGAATACCGAAACACAAGATTTCAGTGACAACGTTTCGACCTTCTTGGAAGGCCTTGTGTTTTTGAAAAACCGATTAAACTGACTTGACAAAGGCCTTCCAAGAAAGTCGAAACGTTGTCACCGAAATCTTGTGTTTTGGTATTCATGTTGTGGCTAAAACAAACCTGATTCTATTGAGGTAGTTTAGTCCCCTAAAACCGGTGCAACTCTGTAGTATTCGGAATTGTAAGCGGAGTCGATTTGTGCAAACTCGGATTCGAACTGAAAAACCACTGAATGTCATGTAGAATCACGATGAGCTATGGATACAGTTCTTGTCTTCGGAAAAGTGTCAAACCATCATTGGTCGATTTTACCGATGTCCAATCCGTCAACGATATGTCCCATTTGGTTGTTTTCCTGCATTCAGCCAATACGGTTGTTTCTACTTGAGATCTCATAATTGGTCGGGACCTCCGTTTCCTGATTGG